AAAAAAAAAAAAAAAAAAAAAAGTCTGGCTTCCCTGCTTTCTCTCACCGTGAGGTCTCTTTGAACATACCTACTCTGAAGCAGCCTGAGGCCATCACTAAGTGCAGCTGCTCAATCTTGAACCTTCTAGCCATCAGATCATGAGACAAATACCTCTCCTTTCTTTATAAATTACCCACCTTCAGGTATTGTTATAGCAACACAAAATAAACTAAGATACTATAAACCTCTATGTTTTAAAAAGAACTTTCAAACACAAAAATTAAAAGGCACCAGTTACTCAGGAGAGTGAGGCAAGACCACTTGAACCCAGGAGTTTGAGGTTGCTGTGACTTAGGCTGAGGGCATGGCACTCTAGCCCTGGCAACACAGCAAGCAAGACTCTGTCTCCAAAAGAGAAAAAAAAAAGGCACTAAGTGAATGGTTATATTAAATGGTCAGAAAATCCAACTGTGAGAGCCATGTGAGGTGCACCTATAGTCCCACCTACTTGGGAGGCCTCTGCAGGAGGATCCCTAGAGGCCAGAAGTTCAAAATCAGCCTGGGCAATACAACAAGACCATGTCTTTTTTTAAAAAATCCAACTGTTCACCCTACACTCCAACACACTCAGACTACATACATTTAAATATATAATCTCTTGAAGATTAAGGGCAAAAAATTAAGACCCGCTGCTTCTTACAAGTAAAAGGCTGAACGCCAACCCCACTTTCTGGCATTGTGAGAGCCTGCCCCTGAGCATGATACCTTCTTCTCTCTCATGCTGTCAGCCTGCACGGTTTCCAGACGGGATTTAAAGTGTTCACAATCCATTTTCAGATGCTCTAATTCTTGCTCTTTCCTTTCCAGGTCTAGAAAAAAGAGACATAAAAATACTCAAGATATTTCAAATCACTAATCTCTCGTAAGCATCTATTTTGCCCAATCGTCATGTAGTAAAACCTGTACTGATTTCTTGGGAATATTTGCATTTCTGATTTCTACCTGCTTCTTGAATAACCAATATTCTAAAAATCTAGTTTTTTAACTTTTACCAATTTCTAGACCACAGCAGAAAGGACTTTATGGTTGTTTTCTGTTTTGTTTTTAAGGCCTCACTTTACTGCCAGACATATACTCAAGGCGTCAAGAAAATGTGTTATTTAAAGGAATGGAGAGCTGAGAAGCCCGACTGTCTCATAGCTTAGATTTGTATCTGCTCCATAAAAAGCAGAAGGCAGCTCAGTGAGTAGATGGTGCCAGCACAGCCTGGTTCACAAAGCTTGTCTCACCAACTGGCAGACTGACTCGATGGAACAACTGCAGTAGTAGTCAATGGAGGAGAGAAAGCAGCAGTGATGAAGACAAGAAAATGCTGCAGTACACGGTCAGAACAACATAAAACCTCCTCTCCACCAGATTCATTTGGTTAGTAAGTCCAATGACCCACAAAAATCCCAAAGACATCCACATCAATAAATTAACCAAAAGTATTATCAACATTATGTTGCAGAAATACTGACATCCAAAAAAATCAAATAAATAATTCACATTTTTTAAGTGCTTGATCTCAAGAACTAAGAACTTACCAGTTTTTATGCCAACATATACCAAGATCTGAGGGTGCTAAGAGCTAATGCTGATTAAAGCAGCAATGCATTAGGACCATGCTTCTCAAACTTTAGTATATATCAGTATCACCCAGAGGATTTGATAAAACATGTCTGCTGGGTCCCATTCAAGGAGCTTCTGATTTGGTAGGTCTGGGGTGGGCCTAAGAATATGTATTTCTGGTAAATTTCCAGGTGAGGTTGATGCTGCTTTTCTGGGAACTGCACTTTGAGAACCTCTTTAGTGCAACAGGCTGGTGTCTCAGCACTAATAAAATTAAATAAGCACACAACACATAATCAGCAACAGCAAATGAGGGAACGCAGCCAAAGGAATGTAAAAGAAGAAAAAAAAAGGGACTGTAGTGAATGTGAAAGCCTTGGATAATAGAACATTACTCCACCCTAGTGGAGAAAAGGCTCACAGTCACTCGTCAACTAAGTGCAATCAGAAAAAGGAGTGGGACTTCACAGAGGGCAAGAGGAATCTCTAAGAAACTTGTAAGGACTGCCTAAAACTCCAAGGGTAGCCCAGAAGCTCTGGAGGAAAATGTAAAGGGTATCTATCTCTAACTTTTGTTGTTGTTGTTGTTGTTGTTGTTGTTGTTGTTGTTGTTTGAGACAGAGTCTCACTATGTTGCCCTCAGTAGAGTGCTATGGCGTCACAGCTCCCAGCAACCTCAAACTCTTGGGCCTAAGCAATTCTCTTGTCTTGGCCTCCCAAGTAGCTGGGACTACAGGGGGTCCACCACAATGCCTGGCTATTTTTTGTTGCAGCTGTCATTGTTGTTTAGCTGGCCCAGGCTGGGTTTGAACCTGCAAGCCTCAGTGTATGTGGCTGACACCATAACCACTGTACTACAGGAGCCAAGCCCATCTCTAAGTTAAAGATGCTATGTCCTAGAAGGAAGATGAGAATCTAAAGGTAAGCATAATCTCAGACCAACTAGAGATTATAAAATTGGCTGGCAAATCTACACATTTTCTAAAAAACTAAGGCAGTAACTTTGGACTATTTTTCTCCCTTAAATCAGAGTTGTCTTTTCTGCTCTTTTAAGAAATACTGTGCCGGCTCGGCG